ACACGCACACATCCTCACGTGCACGCACACATCCTCACACGCACGCACGCACACGCACATATCCTCACGCACACGCACACATCCTCACGTGCACGCACGCACACATCCTCACGTGCACGCACACATCCTCACACGCACGCACACATCATCACACGCACGCACACATCCTCACACGCACGCGCACATCCTCACACGCACGCACACATCCTCACGTGCACGCACATATCCTCACGCACACGCACACATCCTCACGTGCACGCACGCACATATCCTCACGTGCACGCGCACATCCTCACGTGCACGCACACATCCTCACACGCACGCACACATCCTCACGCGCACACTCACATCCTTTCACGTACTCTTCTTTATTCTCTTTGTTGTATTGGATAGGTTATGCCTACGTCTATACACTTGTGATCTTCTGGATGTTGGCCACATGTGAAACTAAGGCTCTAACCCAGCTGATCTCCTAATTTAGTCCTTGACACTGTAATTTTTTTGACAGAATCACGCCAAATCAAAAGCCACATAACGTCATCATTTCTATTCTCAGTGGTATTTTGCCTTCAATGACAATTTATTACAACACTGCCCCAAGGGACCAATACATGTAATTTAGGCCATGGCTGTCTACATTATGCAGTTGAGGTACAGTATCGGCAGAGGCGTGCCAAGTGATTTCTCTTTCATACCTGGTGCTGCTGGCCATATGGGATCACCCTTGTTTTGCCGTCAAGGTCGTGTATCATACGTGAGTACATGGGGATACCAGTTGATATTAACCTTGGCTCAATGCCAAGCTTTCTCAGTGCGTGGCGCCCTCTCTCTGCGAGTGCCAGGTTGATACTCTTGCCCTGCACATGCTCCAGTGTTCTGATGTCTGTCAGAGATCAACGTTTTAACATGGCAACGTTTGCACTCATACATATAAGGCTGCAGATCGAGATAATTGCTATTATGCTAACGTTTGGTGCATTATGATCATTGAAATTTATTGGAGTAAAGTACAGAGGTAGCCGTTAGTGAAATATATACAGAAGTCTCACCTTCCCTATATTCGTACAGATGCACTTCAAAGCCTCTCTTTGCTAGAAAACACGTGTTCAATGATCCCACCTGTAAAAAATAATACAGCCAGGAGTGGTGTATAATAGCAAACTGATCACGCCTGACATGATTTTTACACAAGTGATGCAAACTTCTCAGATTCAACGCGTGCTTATCCAATCAAATAACGTCTAGAAGGTGTTTTGGTAATAAAATTTCTGGAGTTAAACTTTGTAACTATAGACTACATGTACCCAACAATGTCCTTCACAGCCACCGACAAGGCGTATAACATGACAGTATATAGGATGTTAATTCAGGAGACTCGCGTGGCATCTTATAATAATGCTTAAATGTAAGGCTAGAGTTTAAGGGAAAAAGAAATGGCTTTATCGTAAATATGAGTGCTGGAAAGGGACACTGCTGCCATATACTGCTGCTCAGTTCTGATCTGCGACTGATGATTCTGATCTGCTGATGGTGCTACTAATTCATCCGTGCTAATTGCTAATGCTGACTTCATTCATATAACTCTCACAGCTCGCTGGTTTTTGAGACAAGCAGTCACACGCACGGATGCTGCTTCTGCCATTTTACGAACTCTACGACCAAAACGGTTTCTCACTGCATGCATTGAAGGATAAATGTCAGAGTCCACAATATATATATATATATATATTATATATATTATTCTATATATTATATTCCAGGGCGACGAGAATAGCGCACCGCGGCCACCTTTGTTCATATATGCTGGGCAAGTATATTGAGGGCGGGAACATTGGGTCAAAACACCGCGCCCCCGAGCCGGTGCATGGTTTCAGCCGTAGTTCAGCGCGAGTACCTTAACAAGTTTTATTTATAGAATTTAAAATGAGCAAATAGCCTACATTACTGTTTTACCTTGAAGCGATATCCACGCCATAAATTGATCAACATTTGACAAAGAGCTTTGAAATCGAAAATTATGCAAGCGTGAAACATTGACAGTGTATTGATTTTACAAACAGAATTTTATTGAAGGCTGGTAAAATTATGGTGAGGTGCTAGTCAAGAAATTGCTGTTACCAGCCCTTGGGCCGCGCTGCAAAAAAATATGAATTTCGGCTGCCCTGTATTATATTATATATATATATATATATATATAATATATATATTATAATATATAATATAGTATATTAACATTTGGGTAATTGTGTTTAGTACATTAGAATTCAGTTTTTGACAAATTAATCTGTTTGTAAATTTTGGGCGCTGTAATTTTTGGTAAAATTACTGAATATATATATATACAGCCCAATAATGTGAAAACACGGTAAACATTGCTTTCCAATTGGTATCACACAGCTCTAACATGTTGCATATTAGCTGTCAATGCAACTAAATATTGTATCTATTTATAGTAATAATAGTAATAATATCCTATTTATAGTAATACCTTATTGCTATTCTCAATTCGCGGCCTATATTATATAGGTAACGTGTGTGTATGTATACATATATATATATATATATAGACTATACATATATAATTAAGTATAAACTGCCGTTTATTACGCCTATTGCCCATACATTTTGAGTGTGACAGAGTGAAATTTACGAGCTCTAGCTTGTCGGGTTTTAGTTCTGGGCTCATTCCGGTTTGTGTCCATTTGTTGTTTAGTTTCTTGTTCACCGCTTTATGTCAGTTTTTTATTGTTCATATGTTTTGATCATTTTCGCTGTCATGTTTTTGCGGTTTCCCATGCTCACCACCTGATGATATATATATAATATACATCTACAATATAAAGATTTAATTATATTCAGATAATATTGGAATGCCAACGCAATAAGAGGCTAACAAAGCTAAACGCATCCAAATGGAAGAATCAAAAACATTTGAGAATAGAAGAGATAGAATGTTCGTGTTACACAACCAGTTCGACACGCCAGGTTTTATAGAGGCTGTATGGTAAAGGCATATAACAATAAAAATATCAAATCCTTGGTGATGTTAAAGCAGTATGGTTATCAAAGTATAGTCCATACTATCCTGAATATAACATTGCCATACGCATAAAAAGTATTTTAGGTAATAAATCAAGGTAATTGACCAATACAGTTTAGCATTAGCTAACTTATGCCCCGTACAGACTACGAATTTGATATATGGTATTAAACTAGGACGCGCGCGGCTAGCTCGTGCTAAATATTTGCAGTGTGTAACACGCTGAACAAAATATGCGCCGTGGCAACCGCGCCAAGTTAGCCCCCTCGCAAATGAAGCGAGGACCACGCCAGGGCTAACACATGGACTGCTGTGTGTGTGTCGCTGTGTGCATGTGGTGTGTGTGTGTGTGTGTAGTGTGGTGTGTGTGTGTGTGTGTGTGGCTGTGTGTGTGTGTGTTTGCATGTTGTGTGCGTGTGCGTGCGTGTGCATGAGATGTGCTTTGTGTGCAAATTCTTCTAAAAATAGTGTAGTAATGATAGTGTAAATAGCAAAATATAGGGCTGAAAATTGGTGAGTGTGTGTGTCACTGTGTGGTGTGTGTGGTTGTGTGTGTGCTGTGTGTGTGTGTGTGTGCGTGAGTGGTGCGTGCGTGCGTGCGTGCGTGCGTGCGTGCGTGCGTGCGTGCATTTGTGTGAAAGAGAGAAGGAAAAGTCAGATTATGGGACAGAAAAGGTAGCCTACCTGACGTGCATCGCAATTACCATAGAGCGTACGCATTGTAAGTTGTAACACACAGCGTATGTTGTGTGCCTGCATGCATGGGAGTGAGCGTGCGAGCTTATGTGCGTGCGTGTCTGTGTGTGTGTGCGTGACTTTCTCTCACTCTCTCTCCCACTCTCTTTCTCTGCCTCTCCCCCTCTCCCCCTTCCTCTCCCTCTCTCGCTTTCTTTATTTCTGTTTCTCGTTCTCTCTCTCTCTCTCTCTCTCTCTCTCTCTCTCTCTCTCTCTCTCTCTCTCTCTCTCTCTCTCTCTCTCTATCTCTTTCTATCTCTCTATCTCTTTCTATCTTTCTCTCCCTCTCTCTCCCTACATCCCTCACTCCCTCTCTCTTACTGCCAATCCACTCACTCTCTGCCTGACATATTCGGCAAAGCAAAAAGAAAGCCAATGAAGATCTGTCTTTACGCCTGTTCGTCTTACAATTAAGCTTAGCTCAGAAGAAAGATACAGTCAGAGTACATTTGCTGTGATACGCTTGCAGAACATGTTGCTGCGTGTTTGTGTGTTCATATGCCTCGAAGCTATATGCTTACCGGTTTGATGAAGTATCATTACCTTCGTGTTCTAAAAGCTTTTCTCTGTTTGGTACTGACATACAGTGGCCCGTAGTAAAAGAGTTAATAGGAAGACTTGTTTTTACCTAGCTAGCTTTAGACTTTAATACCCCGGCGGCCGTACAGACTACGAATTTTTCGCGCGCTAACTAGGAGCGAACAGACTGCATATTAGGTCGGCCTTGCGACGCGACGCGATTGCCTTGCGACTGATTTTCTGCAACTGGTTGCAATTAAGTCACAGCGACGATCGCGTCGCAGAGAAAGTTCGACGTAAGCACCCCTGCGACTGCCAGCGACGGGTCTGCGACTCTCTGCGACAGGAAAATTGTTAGTCGCAGCGAGTCGCACATGTTCTACTTTTGCGACACGACGCGACTGGTTCCACCGGTCGCAAGCATTGTTTTTCATGGTTATACTACCCGACATAAGCTGCCTTGCGATCGCTGCGACGAGATTCGTATGCACAATAAACAATGCATGCGAATAAAACAATCAGTACAGTATACAGTGCATACAGTAATTAATATACACAACATGCACACATCAACAAGTCATGCAAATTTATTTAGTTGCGCGATCTATAGGCGATCGTCGCTTCGACCTAGGCGCCTTCTGCGACTGCCTGCGACTGAAGTCGCTGTCAGTCGCGTCGCCGTCGACCTAAGCACTCAGTCGCAGTGAGTTGCAGTGCGTCGCGTCGCGTTGCATTCAATCGCAACCCGACCTAACGCCGGCTTTAGATCCTACATTAAATGAGTCATCGGTTCTCCGCTCAGTTCGCCCCTTCACCCCGCAGACAGCGAGGTACAGCGAGCGCACAATTACGTGACCTAAATAAGGCTATGCGCATGCGTATTGCGATTTAGCACCCGGTCTGACCCGCTTGCAAATTTTTTTTCCCACTTTAGTTCTGGACCACAGCCAATCAGCGCACTCCATTCACTCGATTTCCTCGAAGCAACAACGTAAAACGAATAACCCCCGAACCCGAACCCAAACCCGAACCCGAACCCGAACCCTAACACTAACTATAATCCAACCATATATATACGAACCATATATTACAAAACACTATCTATGGTGGGTCCGAAACTCAAGTGGGAAAACAATTTTGCGACCCGCTTGTTGTGGACAGACACACACACAAGGGGGCTATCTTAGTCCGGACTAATTGCACACACACACACACACGCACGCACGCACGCACGCACGCACGCACGCACACACACACATACACCACACGCACACACACACGTATATATATATATGATATGATGATACACAATCTAAACTAGACAGAGGGCACTCACGGAAAGTGCATACCTCCGCGAGCATGTAACATGTATGTGCTCGCTGGTGGCGGCTGCTGACTGACTCGCCTGCTGCCGACTCGCTGCTCACTGGTGGCTGCTGCTGACTCGCCGCTCGCTGACTCGGCGCGCTATCGATCGCGCCGCGTGGACTGGACACACACACACACGAACACACACACGAACACACACACGAGAGCGATTGCATGACCTCCGTTTGCGCAGAGGTAATTATACTCGTTGCATCTGCACGGTTCAGTGTCGTTCAGTTGGTCACAGGCACTTGGAACGTCTCAATAAAAAAATAAAGGTAAATAAACACGAAATGTATTATTCTTGTTGTTTGTGCACAGTGGCGTGCGTGCGGTGTACTTGTGTGTTGCAGAGGAGCATTTGAACGGCATTTACCGGAAGTTATCAGCAATAATAGGCGAAATAGAGTAGAGAAATATTTAGACTTTGGTAGTAAATACATTTCGTGTTTATTTACCATTATTATTTTTATTGAGACGTTCCAAGTACCTGTAGTCGTGGTAGCACACACCCCCTGCCTGATGGATATAAAGGGGTGGACACACTAGGCGATTTTTCATGCGATCGAGCCGGCCGACCGAGCTCGATCGCATGAAAAATCGCGTAGTGTGTCCATGTCTCGGTCGATTTTCGAGTCGGCCGGCCGAATCGCCCGATTCAAACATGTTTGATAATTATTTGAGCCGGCCAGCTGCAATCACCTATAGTGTGCCCGGGTCTGCGATTGAGCCGGCCGATTGTACAATTCATCAGCCAATCAGCGTGCTGAAAATCCACAGAGTCGCCCGACTCAGTCGCGTAGTGTGTCCACAGAGTCGCCTGACTGAGCCGGCCGGCTCGATCGCATGAAAAATCGCGTAGTGTGTCCACAGCTTAAGGATTGTGTGCATGTGTGTATGAGTGCGTGCGTGCGTGCGTGCGTGCGTGCGTGCGTGCGTGCGTGAGTGCGTGCGTGCGTGCGTGAGTGAGTGCATGCGTGTGGTGTGTGTTCATGCGAGCATGCAAGTGTGAGTGTGTGCGTGGGTGCGTGTGTCTGTTATAATATACAATAAATATCTGATATTAGTTTAGTTTTAACTCAAAATCTTGTCTACTTACCAAACCACCACCAACAACAGCAATGCTATGCTTTGTCTCTTTGCTTGCCATGCTGGAAAATGAATTTTTAATGTTAATTAATACAGAATGTGTAACTGTAGCATCATGCAGGGCACTGACAGTAGCCAAATAATGGTATAACGCTCATACGCAACAATGCCTGGGCAAACTGTGCTTATACTAGTATACCAGTATTAGATCTGATAGTGTTACTGTATATATAAGGGGGAATATATACATATATATATATTATGTATATATATATGTTCTGCGTTCACATAATAATAATGATTTATAAGTTCTGCGTTATAAGCTGCATAATAAGCTGCGTTCACACGAGACACACGGCCTCGCTGGTTCCGTACTTATCTGGTGCTGAATTCTGCTGAAATACCGGGCTAACAAACCCGGAGCGTTCACACGAGAATCGAGGCTTAGCTGCATGGCTAGGTATATATATACATGGGAATTATTTTCGTTTAGAATGTTAGGCAATCACCTGCTTTATAAATGAATAGCATTTTGGTAGGTACAACACATGCAGTTAGATTTCTGTGACGAGGTATAAGACTAAGAGGGTCACAGCAAATTAATTTCGAGAAAAAATAAGTAATGCACAAGCATATATTATATCATTCTTAAGTATGAAAAGTAATTATAATATTGTTGATGTTAACATGGCATCAAGTCTTAAAGCCTAAAAATTACGAAAACAACAACAAATTGTTGAGATATGCATTGTCCAAACAAAACCACTTTAAAACCACTACAAACTATTCAAAACAAAATTGTTAAACTTATCAAATTTGCTAACTGGAGGGATCATGCAACCCCTTACTTTTATGAATTACAACTGCTTAAACAAATCGACATTTATAATTTAGAGCTAGGTAAATTTATGTTTAAATTCAATGCAGGTATTCTCCCTGAATTATTCTGTAATTATTTTAGAAGAATTTCAAACTCTCATCATTACCAGACAAGAGCAGCAACTAACAATTTATACTTTACTCCTAGAGTAGCAACACATACTGGTTTTAAATCAATTAAATCGGCTGGAGTTTAAACTTTGGAACGCCTTATCTGTAATTAACAAATCACGTACTATCAAACAGTTCAGCTATAAATATAAATTCGACATGCTACAACACTTGAACAGTATATATATATCTCTTTATGACGAACATATCCGGGTCGTGATTAACTAGTTCTCTATGTTTATCATGATGTAATTTCTAGTATTTTACGCAATTGTTGTAACACTCTTGCATGTAATTGCTATTTTTCAAATAATACTTCTACAAGATATTTCTTTCTTTCTTCTAAATGCATGTTTAAATGCAGAACTATTTCCTAGACTATTTTTCATCTAGTAATATATGCTAATTTGAAGTTAAACTTTTTTACATAGCATTTAGTTGCGTGTTGTAATGATTTGACAAAATTCAGTTATTTGTTGATTAGCTGTATGTTATTATAGATGTTACGTATGGCCAAATGTTATAATTGCAATTCTGGCTTAACTTCTGTCCTGAGATATTCCTTTACTTGGCGATTATGTATCATTCGCAAACTTGACTTGTTATAGCTTGTTGTTGTTTTTTGATATTTAAATTGCTTGCGTTTCGATTTGCTCATTTATTGACTTGATTATAATATATGTCAGATGTTTAGAAATTTTTTTATTGAATTTATTTGAATATGGTATTGTACAGATTGCTTTGAACAGTACAGACATATGTATTCATTAACGTATCATAAACGTATGTTCTTAGCTTGTTTTGTTGTAATTTACATTAAAGACTGTTTATTTATATTGTCATTACTGTAAACATTCTGCTCAAAGTTTGCTTGAAATAGGAATTATCTCTGCTTATATCTTGTATAACGTTTAAGCAATTGTGAATCATGTAATTTTTGTATCTTCATATTTGTATTATTCTACACTTTGTTCAGTTACACGCTTGAAGTTCACTTATAGTTAAAATCTTATAGTAAATTATTACTAGAACAATATTACTATATTTCTCTTCCGCAACGACAGTTGCCCGCTTACTTTTTAATTTATAACTTTCTAGGGGATCATGGCTGACTAGATGACCGTATGGTCTTTTCGCCATCCCTTCGCGGTATTGTTTTCTTATTTGCCTTGTTAATTCTTGTTTTATGTTGTAAGCGAAAAATAAAACTGTTATATCTTATATATCTTGTCAATAAATGCAGCAGATGTCTGTTAATTCATCATTCAAGTTAAAATGATGACGTTAAAAGTTAGACTGGTGAAAATCAACTTGGAATGTAGTGCTGGTACACACCACAATTCTAAAACCTGTACAGTTGCCTACTTATTTATGTGATGCTTGGTGTCAGAAAATACCAAGCAAACTAATTCATAAGCACACACTGTATGATTTCTCATCATATATATCAGTATTCATCATTAATACTAATAGCATATTGTACTGCCGCTCAATGTATAAACTTAGTTTGAATTAGTTCCTGTTGATGCCGTTATGGAGAACTGCATTAAGCCCGCCGCACACGGTGAACTATCTGCTGAGCCAACGGCCTCAAGAGGCCGTTGGCTCAGCAGATAGT